TATCCAATTAAATAAGGACCATATTGGCAAAAATGACAGTATTGTATTCTCTTCCTACATTACCATGAAATTGAATTAATATTCCTCCATCTCCTAATTTTGCATATGTTGATTTGAATCTAATTTTTTTTCACATATTCAAAAAAGCTTCAACTGAAGATGGGAAGGGGAAGCAACTTCTCTAGTCTCCTTGTTTCATGTTATTTTAGGACTTTCCCCAGTTTTCTTTTTTTTAAAAAAAAAAAGCTTTATTAACATTAAAAAATATATACATAATACAAAAAAATTCATAAAATACAAAACCAAAAAGTTATACATCACCAATAAACATAAAAACATAAAGACATCTAATTTCTTAGACAGTGTGTTTATGTCCAACAGTGTTCCAATACTTAGTTCCGATATCTGGTATATACTCCTATCATGACCTCTTCATGTTTTCTCTTGCCTGTTTACTTACAGGTTTCTATCCTTTATCCAATTATACCAGTTTTCCCAAACTGTAAAATATTTTGAGTCTTACTATCTTTTAACTTTTGGGTGAGCTTATCCATTTCCGCACAGTCATAGATCTTCTGGGTTATCAAATTATCTGTTGGCATCTCATCTCCCTTCCAACAGTGAGCTAGTGCTATCCTTACTGCCATTATTGTATGTAAAATTAAGTATTTGATTTCTTTTGCGATTTCACCTTTTATTATTCCCAACAGAAAAATTTCAGCCTTAGGTTCTAATTGAATGTTTGTGATTTCTCTTATCCATATTCATATTTTTCCCAATACTTTTTGCTCTTTGGGCAAAGCCACCAAGTGTGGAAGAAGGTACCTCTTGTTTCTTTACATTTCCAAGAGAGTGGGCTTAAATTTGGATATATATTGGCCAATCTCAAAAGTGCCAGATACCACCAATAGCACATTTTATATTGGTTCTCTTTATAGACCGCCGATTTCATTACTTTATAGTTTTGGTTCCAAATTCTTTCCCAATCTTCCAAATTGATATTATATCCTATGTTCCTTGCCCGTGCTATCATTGGGCCCTTGACTATTTCTTCTGCCAATTCAAATTCTAATAAGTAGTTGTACATTTTTGAAATTGCTTTTTCATCTGTTCCATCTAAAATCCCAGTTTTCTGCATGCATTTTGAGAGAACTATTGAGTAAAAGAAGAATCAGTGAAAATGATCTTCCAACTCTAGGAATACTCTAAGAATATATTTGTAGTTTGTTATCTATGTATTTGAATAAAATAAAAAGTACTAAAAAGATTATTAAGTATGAACCTAGTAAACATCATCTGGCAAAGTATTTCAGAACTAGGTTCTATGTGTCATTAGCTTGACCATTTGCTGGACTCTGCCCTTCCTGTTTTGATGAGATCTTCCAAAGAGGCAAATTGTGTCAGTGGAATGTACATGCATCCTTTGGTGCAGGGATGATGCCATCTGCCTTTATGTGTCTAAATTTTGTTTCATAGGGACTTACAGGTTCAGCATCATGACTTCAAAGTCAGAAAGAGAATGAGAAACATGAACAGTTTGGTGTAGTGGTTAAGGCATCAGATTAGAAACTGGGAGGCTATAAGTTCTACTTTTGCCGTAGGTAGAAAACCAGCTGGGTGATCTTGAGCCAGTCACTCTCTCAGCCCTAGAAAGGAGACATTGGCAAACCATTTCTGAAATTTTGCCAAGAAAACTTTTGCATACACAAAAGAGGTGGCAGTGGGGAAGTTTACAAAAATGCAAATGGAAAGTGATATTAGTCTAGGCCATTGTTTATCGTCTGTGAATAAATGAATCTAGTTGAGCTGAAGATATTGTCAGCCAGAAATGTTTTCTAAAATAAGAAACAATTATTTCTAATTATAATTTAATGTAACCTAGTAAGATATTGGACTTGGCTGATCATTTCCTATCTTACTCCATGGCTCTGTCTCCTCATATCATTAAGTATAACGGTGGTTGGGCCAGACTTTTTGTAACATGGGGCCTCTGAATGCAGAAATGTGATAAAGTGTTCCGTGATAAAAGCTCAAAAACATTAGCATGGCTGGCATCAGATAAGCAACCACCTCACACCATCAGTCTCTTCCCATACAGCTTGGAATGTCCTCAGTTGGAAAGGGAGCAGAAAGTTCAGTGGGCTGGCACTGGACTTCTCTTCAGTTAATGTCCCTTCCTTTGGAAGCGCCACCACTGAACATGTATCCCAGGAAAGGCACCCCAGAGTTCTAGAGCAAGTCATGCAAAATGAATAAAAACACTACTTTCCTGATTTTAATCAAAAATAACAACAGCAGCACTGACAACTAATTTTCATTAACTAGACTAAACCAGGTAAATAACACCTGATGTGTATAGTTAAATATGAAAACTATGGATTCTAATTTAATTGTCATTTCCCAATACAAAAAGGGAGTAAGAATTCTAGAATTACCTCATTATCAGGATCATTTCCCGCTTGTTTAAGTCATTTTGAGACTATCTAGGGGTTCTTAGATAGCATTGTTGTATTACATAAGCTCAGAATGACATCCATGGTGACATGAATATGAAAGGATATATGTGTGTGCCTGAATCATAACCAAAATCTGCATATGCAACAAAACTTCATAAAGTACTGGATTTCATCAATAGTTCATACAATGAATAATTCATACATGAGTGATATGTTTATAGATTGGAACCTACTATGCAGCTTGTTATTTTAAAAAGGCACAATGCTAAAAGCTATATCTTAAAAAGAATTAGTACTCCCTATGGGTATAGCTGACTAACAAACCAATTATGTGTAATTTTTTTTCTGAAGCAAGCAGCCTTCTTCATTGAGAAACACAGATTTCTGTCTAATAAAAATAAATTCACTTTAGTTTCCCAGAATCAACTAACAAGTAAATACATGGCTTCAAAAGCTAATATATTATTTTAATTGTAGAGTTGTCACATTCCCCACCTACATACAACTGTAGTTTTGACTGCTGTTGTGTTTTTAGAAAGAAAGAAGTAAGAAACCACTAATTTTCATGATCCTTTCTGAATTGTACCACATGGTGGCATACTTGCTGTAAAATATGGATTATATGTATGTGATATAAAACTCCAAGGATGTTTTCAGTCTCATTTCACACAGGCTTTTTTTCCCTATTAGTAAAAGTTGATATTCATCCTGTGCAAATGTAGAAGTTTGGTTTTTAATGCATTCCATTTCTTCATCATGCATAAGCTGCAGCATTCAAAAAAATTATTTTTTTATACTTAGCAGTTGAGTACCTTACATTTTTCATTCACAGTATGTTCTTGAAGTGTTTTTAACATACTCAGTTTATTGTAATTGTTATGATTTATCTTTTAATCAGGGCTTTTTTGAAGAGGAAGAGGGTAAGGAATATATTTACAAAGAGCCCAAATTAACAGGCCTATCTGAAATCTCTCAGCGACTGATGAAACTTTATGCAGACAAGTTTGGAACAGACAATGTAAAGATAATCCAAGATTCCAATAAGGTACGGTTGGAAATGTCCACAGATCTTTTTTTTTTTTTTTTTAAGAAAGCATTTGTGCTATTACAGAGTTTTTTGTCCAAACCCACTTAAAATAAATGAAACATTCTTTTTTTCTCCAAAATTCTTTTTTTCTTCAATGACCCATGCTCACTGCATAAATTCAGTTAATATCAAAGCACGAATAATTTGGAACCAATGAAGTAAAAAAATGAAGAGGAATATGGTTCAGGCAAGGCATAACCTCTTCTGTGGCCGTGTAATTATATCTTTCGTCTCTCTGATCAGAAGAGTTATAACGCCCTTGATAGTAATATAAACATTTGTTACATGCTGTGGTGTCATGTACATTCATTACACTGCTATTAATTTATTAAAGGTGGAAGACCTGGTAGGCATGCCTTTTTTGGGGAGGGGGCTTTCAAATTTCTGAAAGGGAACTGTTATGGAATTCCCAGCAACAGAGGCTTTCTTAGAAATCTGTTTTGTTTGTCTAAGAAAATGTTTTTGCTCCTTTTTTGCTCAAAATATCTGAATACAAAATACACAACCATCCTGTCCAAAGCAAAGAAATCTATGAATATATCCTCTTTTATAATGTCTAAAGCAGCCTTTCAGTAATATGCTGTAAAAAGCAAGAGTTTAGTTTATTTTCTTGTCCTTGTGCTGCCTCTAATTGATGTATTGTCTCCCCTTTTGTTTGTATAGGTTAACCCCAAAGATTTAGATCCTAAATATGCATATATCCAAGTAACCTATGTCACACCCTTCTTTGAAGAGAAAGAAGCTGAAGAACGTAAGACTGACTTTGAAATGCATCACAATATCAACCACTTTGTGTTTGAAACGCCGTTCACCTTGTCAGGAAAGAAGCACGGGGGTGTAGAAGAACAATGCAAGAGACGGACAATTCTGACAAGTATG